GAATCTTTTGGAAATGCTCTAATACTACCATCCAGATATTATTCCGTGCTCTTTAAAAAGATATGGAAATTGGGTTAAAAAAAACACTAGATCTTTAGTAACACTCAAGCTTGTGTATATCTATGCACTAAATAAATCTCACCAATATTCCATTATGCTACATGAAAATTTTGCAAATGTGTCGATACATCTAGGTGGGTTATTTGAGAGTGAAAACAGTAGGAACACAATAATTACCAATCGGCCCAACTTTTTGATCTCTACAGAAATCCATCAGGCTTTTCATGCTATTGACAACCTCAGCAATCTGTTCACAGCAAACAGCTATGAGAAACCTTGTAGAAAAGTTTGAAAAATTGGACAATGCATGTTAAAAGGTTTATAAAACATAGAAACGTGCCTGAAGGCACCGAACATATCTTTTGGAAAATCCCAAATCATTAAGTGATTGTAGCTCCAAACTCTTAGCAAGCTGACGGCCAGCTGTTACAACCCTGAAAAAAAAAAGGCCTCGAAATGGTTCAAACAAGAAAAGTTAAAGAAGTCATCAACAAACAGAAAGATATCAAGTACGATCAGATTTTAAATTCTCCATTTCAAACATTAATTTTCAGTTCAGCAAGTAGCGTGCATAATTAAGTTAGCTAGGGATCAAAATGTAACACCAAACAGAAAAATAGGAGTTTCTTCTGGTATTAAAAGGACTGCACTACAAGTATCAAAAAATATTCCTAAACCTTCTTTGAAATTTTGAGGTAATATATCATCTTGATTCTTTGCTTTTCAATGAACAGTAAAAAATGTGATAGAAAACTCAACTGAAATTGACAGTGGTCACAGCCCCTTTAAAGCAACAGATAATCACATGACAAAAAAAATGAGGGGTCAATAGAAAGGCTGTGACCTTAATACTTGTTTAAAATTAACAACACAATATATAACAAGTCATGCTGCACTTTGAAGTCCACGTCAAAGGTCTAGCAAAAGAAATCTACTGAGTTCTAAAATGCCATGGACAAGTGAACTTTCTGGACCACCAGCTTCTCCTCATTTCCAATAAAAAATCATGGAACACTTGAATTAATCAGCAATCATAATTTGTATTTTGTTCGCAGCCCCTGTACTAAGAAGGGGAGTAAAGGAAACAAATGAAATGGTCTAAACTAAGAATGAAATTGCGGACTAGTAGAGTATAAAAACTTTTCACCCACATAACACTGTTTGCCTGTAAATCAGGCTGAGAAACGCCATCGGGTCCACTTTCAGAAATTGTGCTTTGGCATTTCTGTGCAACTTGCAGCAATTGATTTACCTGCAGGAGAAAATGTGTTTTAGAAGTTCTATATACAAAATGTAACACCCAGTACTTGTATTGATAAACTTTATGCTAAAAAAGTAACATCTTGGGCCCATTAAAGTGTTGCTTTTATCTTGTAGTTGCTGCCATGGGTCAGTTTTTCCTCTATATCGCTAACCTGTAGTTCCATTCTTAATCAACAATGAGCGAACAGTTTCAGAACTTCACCATTGAAATTGTGACATCCCCAATCGCTACAATGCCATTTAACTATTTAGTACATGGAATTAGCTAGGCTAGCACAAGCAGGGAATTTATTCAACTACTACAGCATTGAGTATCAAAATTTCTTCTTGACTACGCATGAGGGAAACATGAGCAAACTATTTAAAATTCATGTGAAAATTGTGCAAAAAAGTCAGATATTGACAG